GAGCCTCGTAGCACAGCGCCCGATGCCGGGTCGTTGTCCGGGTCGCTGTCCGGGTCGCTGTCATCTGCAGCTTCACTCTGCAAAGCTTTAACAGAACCACGTTTGGGTCAGAACATCCACTTTGGTTCTTCTGATCCAAGTTTCCTTGCTGATCACACAAACCAATGAGACAGAAACAGGAAATACACCTCTGACTGAGGTTTTCCCTTTTTTATAGTTTAAACAATAACCCATTAAAATCAAAAGCTAACATTGGTTTGGATGCTACTTGTTTTAGTATTGAATGGAGTCAGATCTCATTAGCATTAGCTTCCACTAAACCACGCATCAACACATAAGCCGACGAGACACAAATTGAGGAAATTCACTGTTCCATTCACTATTTTATCAACATTTCAGTTTTTGGTGTCAGTTTTTATTTAAAGTTTAGACTGTAGTTGCCCATATACAAAATGAAGAGAAGCAGCTAATTTCAGGGAGATGTTGGTTAGATTTCCACCATGCTTTGTGCCGCCGCCTCCTCCAAGACCAGCTGAGTACGCTGAGGAGAATCCTCCTCCTGCTCCTCCATAACTGTAGGTGGAGAAACCCTGGTAGTATCCTGCAGAAGAATCAGTCAGATAATCAGACTCCAGAAATAATTCACACTATGGTTTTCATCAACCTGACTTCACCTCCTCCTGCTGAGCCTGGACCTCCTACTCCTGAAGCCGGACCTCCTCCACCTCGGTACAGCCCCCCGCCTCCTCCTCCTCCATGTCCGCTGAAGTCCTGGAAGTTCGGCAACGTCTTCTGCCTCTTCCTCTGAACCTCCTCTTTATCTGAAGACAAACATTAATGAAACATGGCCGCCGACACAGAGTAAAAACTTCCAACAACTGAAACTTTGCTACACTGTTGGCAGAGCCAAATGACGTAGCTACGCCAGGTGGGGTGGGTGTTACCAGGTGGGGTGGGTGTTACCAGGTGAGGTGGGTGTTACAAGGTGGGGTGGGGTGGGTGTCACCAGGTGGGGTGGGTGTTACAAGGTGGGGTGGGTGTTACCATGCGGTGCGGGTTGGGTGTTACCAGGCGGGGTGGGTGTTACCAGGTGGGGTGGGTGTTACCAGGTGGTGCGGGGTGGGTGTTACCAGGTGGGGTGGGTGTTACCAGGTGGTGCGGGGTGGGTGTTACCAGGTGGGGTGGGTGGGTGTTACCAGGCGGTGCGGGGTGGGTGTTACCAGGTGGGGTGGGGTGGGTGTTACCAGGCGGTGCGGGGTGGGTGTTACCAGGTGGGGTGGGGTGGGTGTTACCAGGCGGTGCGGGGTGGGTGTTACCAGGCGGGGTGGGGTGGGTGTTACCAGGTGGGGTGGGTGTTACCAGGTGGGGTGGGGTGGGTGTTACCAGGTGGGGTGGGGTGGGTGTTACCAGGCGGTGGGTGGGTGTTACCAGGCGGTGCGGGGTGGGTGTTACCAGGTGGGGTGGGGTGGGTGTTACCAGGCGGTGCGGGGTGGGTGTTACCAGGTGGGGTGGGTGGGTGTTACCAGGCGGTGCGGGGTGGGTGTTACCAGGCGGGGTGGGGTAGGTGTTACCAGGCGGTGGGTGGGTGTTACCAGGCGGTGCGGGGTGGGTGTTACCAGGTGGGGTGGGGTGGGTGTTACCAGGCGGTGCGGGGTGGGTGTTACCAGGCGGTGCGGGGTGGGTGTTACCAGGTGGGGTGGGGTGGGTGTTACCAGGTGGGTGGGTGTTACAAGGCGGTGCGGGGTGGGTGTTACCAGGTGGGGTGGGGTGGGTGTTACAAGGCGGTGCGGGGTGGGTGTTACCAGGCGGTGCGGGGTGGGTGTTACCAGGTGGGGTGGGGTGGGTGTTACCAGGTGGGGTGGGGTGGGTGTTACAAGGCGGTGCGGGGTGGGTGTTACCAGGTGGGGTGGGGTGGGTGTTACCAGGTGGGGTGGGGTGGGTGTTACAAGGCGGTGCGGGGTGGGTGTTACCAGGCGGTGCGGGGTGGGTGTTACCAGGTGGGGTGGGTGTTACAAGGCGGTGCGGGGTGGGTGTTACCAGGCGGTGCGGGGTGGGTGTTACCAGGTGGGGTGGGGTGGGTGTTACCAGGCGGTGGGTGGGTGTTACCAGGTGGTGCGGGGTGGGTGTTACCAGGTGGGGTGGGGTGGGTGTTACCAGGCGGTGGGTGGGTGTTACAAGGCGGTGCGGGGTGGGTGTTACCAGGTGCCTACCTATGATCTGCGGATGGTAGGTGAATGGTTTGGGCTCGCTGGTCTCATTGTCGGATTTCCTCTTTAGCTGGACAAAGACAGATGTCGGTTTCTGCAGGTTTTGGTCTCGATACTTCGGGGTCTTGAAGACGATGGCAAACTGTCAGGCAACACATTGACAAAAGAACATGAAAGCGGTGTAAAGACCGGAGCGGCTCCCAGCTGCAGCTGCATCAGCACTGACCTGTCTGTGGACGTCTGTGGGGGAGAAATCGCCCAGAGCCTCCCAGGTCAGCCCCGAGTCGTCCTCCTCATAGAACCGCACCTGGATGTCATCTACGCACATGGAAACACACCATGAAACACACAGAGGGTTCTGGAGGGCACCGAGACCTGAGGGTTCGGCCTCCAGCCGGAACGAGACGCAGGAAATCAGAGGAGGAAACCCAGAATCGCCCCGTTAGCCGACTGCGGCGCCTCGTTAATGGACCTCAGGCTCAGATCTGGTCACATGCTGGACTCCTGCTCACCTTTCTGGACCTTGTCACAGAGCAGGTAGACCTCCTCTCCCCCCGTCACGCAGCCGGCGGTCCGGTCCATCCTGACGATCTTCAAGTTTGAGGCGTTTGGAGCCTCTGAGGGAGGAAAAAGAGTCAGAATTATTCATGGTTATACCAGAATGCTGCATGAGAGCGATGCTAAGTGATGAAATGGAGGAGCAGAGGGAGCAGCTTCAGAGACAATCAGACTCTGAAGCTTGAAAATGGAGGACAGACGGACAGGAAGGAGGCGGCGCTCTGCCGGCAGCAGGCGCTGCTCCGTCTGCTTGGCTCCCCTTTACTTTCCCTTTTCATTTTGGTTGTTTCTCCAGATGAAACCCAGTCAATCAGCCAATCAGCAGCTGAGCCCCACATTAATGATCATCAATAATGAACAAGTCCCAGAGGTTTGCACTGACTGCTGTCGTAGATGGGCTCGGACACCACGGGCTCCAGGCGTCTGGAGAAGCCGCCGTCGCTGTCGGGCAGGAAGGCGGTGAACATGAGGCGCACCACGCTCAGGTCCATCTCTTTGGCCTGAGAGGCTGCGGCGCTGCTGATCATGCTGCGCTGGTGGTCTGCACACAACATGGAAACGGTTCCCAAACCAACATGGGCAAACAAGTGATTTATGATCCACACAATCCAGTTCATGACAGCAAATCTACAGCAACATGCAATCAACATCTGCTGAAAATAAAATTAAATATAGTAAAAAGTTATTTAAAGCTGAAAAGTTTTTCAGAATAAGAAATATAAACTAAGTCTCCTAAAGTACACACGCTAAATATTGAGCTTTGGGTTTATCAATATTTAACTTGGAATTAAGTATTAATTTAATTTCCCTGTGGGATCAATAAAGTATTTATGAATTTGAATTTATTTTGTACATCCATTTATCAGCAAGCTAATTTGCATATTAGCTAAGCGTTTAAAGCAGAGCTAAAGGTTTATGACATGATAAACAACAAGGTGAATATTTCCTCCATGACAGACAAACAAATATTACTGTCAATGTTTTACAGAATAACTCTACAGTAACTCTGGTTCTGCTGGCCAGAACCAGAACCGGCAATTATTGAGGAGAGGCGGGACCGGAACCACTGACCGTTGAGCTCCCGCGGGACCCGGACCTCCCCCTGCAGCGCGTCGACCTCCGGGTGGATGGCGACGCCGCAGTTGTAGCCCATCCTGAAGGCCTCCACCATCCGCTCCTCCAGCGTCTTCGCCACGTTCTTCTTGGTCACATGGAGGATCCCCAGGTTGGGAAAACTGCAGGAAGCCAGAAGCAGGTCAGGTTCTGCGGGTCGGACCCACACCGAGTGGAACCAGAGCCACAACTGGGCCGACCGGTTCCGGACCTGATGCCACACCAGGAAGCAGAGTTTGAGGCGGTAACCCTTTTGAGTCAGATGTTGTAACCAATCAGAAGCTCACAAGTTCATGGCATCATCGCCTGGGCTTTTATTTTGAAGGGGACATGTCAGGAAATTCCACTTTTTATCATTTAATAGTGTAGTGTGTACCTGCAATCTGCAGGAGAGCAGAGTCAGTTCCCAGGTGTCTCCATCAATCTGTTCAGGTTTTTCTGAACTTTTACATCACAGTATTTACTGAGCAACTGCTAAACATGATCTTCTGGCTAATTAACTTTTTATTTCTCGCAGCGATGTTGGGGTCCAAGTTAGGAAACCAAAGTCAAAATGTTTCAGCAAAACAAATTTTTTTCAGACATGAAATTATTGACGTCCTGGAAGTGGTCTGGCTAACTGGTCTGGCTAACTGGTCTGGCTAGCTGATCTGGCTAACTCTGGCTAACTGGTCTGGCTAACTGGTCTGGCTAGCTGATCTGGCTAGCTGATCTGGCTAACTGGTCTGGCTAACTGGTCTGGCTAACTGGTCTGGCTAGCTGATCTGGTTAGCTGATCTGGCTAACTGGTCTGGCTAACTGGTCTGGCTAGCTGATCTGGTTAGCTGATCTGGCTAACTGGTCTGGCTAACTGGTCTGGCTAACTGGTCTGGCTAGCTGATCTGGCTAGCTGATCTGGCTAACTGGTCTGGCTAACTGGTCTGGCTAGCTGGTCTGGCTAGCTGATCTGGCTAGCTGGTCTGGCTAACTGGTCTGGCTAGCTGATCTGGCTAGCTGGTCTGGCTAACTGATCTGGCTAGCTGCTGGTCTGGCTAACTGGTCTGGCTAGCTGGTCTGGCTAGCTGATCTGGCTAGCTGGTCTTTCTAACTGGTCTGGCTAGCTGGTCTGGCTAGCTGGTCTGCTGATGTAGCACTGTGTACTAGCTGTTAGCTTCCTGCGGACTAAAGCGTACGTCGTGTTTTGAATAGCATCACTGCATAAACAGATCTGCATTGTGTTGACTGGAGGAACAAATGATCCAAATGCATTCTGTGATGTTCTGGCGCTAGCGTTAGCTAACTCGCCACCGACATCTTTTAATAAGTTTGGGAATAAAACGCATCATCACACCTCTGCTATCAAGCTACAAAAATGTCTGAAGTGGCGGGACTGGCTCAGTCTGCGATCTGGTTTGCATTCAAAAGAACTGGCACCAGAACAAGTTGCTGTCAGACGAATCTCAGGTCAGAGGTCAAAGGGAAACCTGTGAAGCTGCAATAACCAGGAATTCAGACCAAACCAGTGCAATTCAGCTTTATATTCAGCAAAACTGATAACAATAAACATTAATTTAATTGAAACGTCCATGATTTCTACCTGATGGTGGAGTCTTTGGACTGCAGGTCAGCAATGCAGATGCCTTTATCGCACTGCTTCCCCACCAGGCTGTGAGCGTGAAGCTGCGGCAGCTGGGTCAGCGCCGTCACCAGCTGGACCACGACCCGGGCCTGACCCTGGTAGTTACAGATCTGAAACAGCAGAACGCCGCCGTTAGCGCAGGCGGCTGAGGACAACGGAAAAGATGAGGTGGATGACGGCGAGAGTGAAAATGTTTGGTGAAATCAGACAGTGAGGTTTCTGATCTCATTCTGGACTCCACAGATGAGTCACACACATTCAGACTCTGTGGTAGTTCAGAGAACTTTCTCCTGGTACAAATGACTCACTGAAACTTATCACCTACACCACCATCAGGAACCGCTAAAGCGATGGATTCAGGCTGAAAACAAACCTGACCGTCTCCAACCGTCTCTCAGACGATCAGCAGAAAACAAATAGGTTGCCATGAAATGTATTTCTGCTCTAAATATACAAATTATGAAAATGGGGAACATTTTATGGTGATAATTAGTTAAATGGCAGCCATTTTGAAAAATATCATCCTCCTGAAACTGAAGTGTCTGATGGGAAATATAAAAACATTCGACCTGAGAGGTTAGCATGCTAATTTGTTGGATGTGGAGTCAGACCACATCCCAAAGATGATCCTGTGCTGATTGGTCCATTGCTCTGATTGGTCAGTGCTCTGATTGGTCCTGATTGGTCCTGTTCGTCTGAACATGAATCTCAACTGAAGCTGAATCTGCTGTTAGTTGTTTTGTTTATTGTTTGCTTCCAGATGCTCATTTTTCATGCTATCTCTGTTTAACTGAAACGTGAGAACAAACTCTTCCTGTTCCTTCAGTTTGTGTGACAGCCAGCCGTGCCGCTGCAGATATTTGCCTGCAACTGTTGCAATAAAAAAGCCCACTTCCTCTTCCTGGTTCTGTCGGCCACTCGACGTGTCGCAGCAGATGAACGCGGTTCCTGGAATCAGAGCGAGAGCTGTATTTTGAGGGTTTCCTGGCCTGAAGCTTTTCACACGCCGCGCCGCAGCAACCTGACAGCTGCAGCATGCCGGCGCTGCAGCTGCAGTTGGCTGTCTGCACATGAGAAATGCAGAAATCAGCTTAAATAATGCTAAAAAAATAAAACACTGAAATGAAGACAAATCTGAAAGTAGCAGCGTCTCACATCCTGCAAACCCAGAACACCAGCATGCAGGAGCTGCTGCTGCGTTTCTGAGGAAATCTGAGTGAAGCTGCAGCACAGCTTCATTTCACGCCCAGGTCAGAACCAGAACCGAACCCAGGACCCCAAAATAAGATTCTGCTGGTTTGAAAACTGTTCCTGGTAACCAGATCATCAGGAAGCCAATAAAAGCTAACAGCTAACAGAAGCGTTGACAGAACCTTCTGACCCGGTTCTGTTGGATGTGGAGTCGGACCAGGAGTGGTGGGCTGGGACGTGATGCGTTCACTGACTCAGACGGCTTTCATCACTTCATTATTGTCATTTTCAGACGTTTAGATTCACCGTCTGTCTGCTGAATTCTGACACAATACGGATAAAATACGACCATGCTATGAATCTGATAAACAATAATAAATAGTAATAATAAAACAATACTATTCATGGAACACATTGATTCTAATTATATAAACTGTCCTGCTGTCCTTTTTATCTTGGGGAAGAAATAATCCAAATGCATTCAGCAACAATCTAGCATTAGCTAACTTGCTACCACTAGCTAACTTGCTCGCATCTATTTTCATCTTTTTTCTCAGCCATTCAATACCAGCTAAAGAGAAAAGGAGAAGGCTGGAAACAAATTGCTGCAGCTAAAATTCAACATTGTTTTGTTTTTATTCACTCTCTTAGCTTTTGGTATGTCTCCCAATTTTATATTGTCTTATTATTTTTACTAAATGTAATTTTGTTTATTTATCTATCTGTCATGCTGTGTTTGTTGTGAAATGTGCTACAGAAATAAACTTTAACTTGACCCAACATTAGCTAACTGGCTAATGTTAGCTAACTCGCTAGCGGTGTTCAGACCCTTGTTCCTTCAGGCTTTGACAGAATTTCTGTCTCCAACATGTTCGGCTGGATAAACTGACCTACGGTTGGTGAAATCTTTCATTTCATTTGGGAATAAAATGTTTTTACGTCACTACATAATCAAATTTCTGATGTATTTCTGTGTGATGCTAACATGCTAGCCTTCACTGACTTACATCCAACTTTAACTATTTCAATTCATTTAAGCTCCGTAATCTATTGTCTTTTCATCGCTTTTTTATGCTTTTGTTTTGTAAACTATCTTAGCATATTTAGTTTTTGCACAATATAAAAGGAAGTCGAAGCATCGCGCTCTTCTTTGGCTCCTGAACTAGGTCAAAGATTGAGATCAGCGCTGCTGGAGGGTCAAAGGTCATTCAGATGGAGCAGTTCATCTGATTAATCCTTTGACTCTTTCCTCTGTTTCTGACCTGAGAGAACCAAACCGGGCCAGGAATGGACCCCACCAGTGGGATGGGCGTGAAGGCTTGAACTTTTCCAGAGATTGAAATCCCATGATGCATTGCACATCTGTAAACAAGCAGCTTCAACACCAGGAACCAGAATGTTATCAACATCAGGAGGCTGCGTCCTCATGGTTAACCGTGACTTTAAGATTTTTCCCGTTTCATTCTGCTGACTGAGCGGTTCTGACGATCGACTGCTTTGACCTGACAGTGGGGCGCCAGCGAAGGGTTAACTGTGTTTCTGGGCCTGAGTGGGCGCCGGCGCCAACGCCACGCTTTCATCTCCGAGCTGAAACTTTGCACCTTGCCTGCCTGTGACGCAGCGGCGCTTCCTTGTGATGAGCTGTGGGTGTCGCAATGAGGAAATTCCCAACAGACATGAAAGATGCAGAGGTGTGTGTGTGTGTGTGTGTGTGTGTGTGTGTGTGTGTGTGTGTGTGAACAGGTCCAGGGGTCCGATGCGGTCCGCATCCGTTCTACGGGTTCGTTCTTCATCGACCGTTTTGAAAAACTTTATGTTTTTTCACTAATTGGACCGAAAAGTTTTCACGGATTAACAGGGAATAATTAACGTTACCAGAGCAACACAAACAGGGACACCTCATCTCAATCCAGAAATGCTTCTTTAATCCCAAAAGAAAATTAATCTTTGCTTTGACAATGAGGATCTCCTGTAGAGGTCTGTGTTACAGCGGTATGAAGACGCCTCTGACTGAAGACACAAGCATATGTGAACACCAAGTGGACCAGAGAGCGCTCCAAAACCAGGAAGTGGACTAAAGTGCAGGGCATTCTGGGTAAATACAACCAAAGCTAACATGTTAGCCTAGCGCTAGCAGCAGAAATGGCTCCTGGTCTTCAGCCAAAGACTAAAGAGAAATCCTCCAACTCTAAACTCTGACGCCTCCATCTTGTTTCATCTGGAGAAGCAGGAAGTTGCTCTCAGTGTCTTCAGAGGTTTTAGTGTCGTTTCCTTCAGTGGTTCTTGGTGCAGCGCCCCCACAGGCCAGGAGGGGAACAGGCTGGTCAGAGGGTTTGGTTGGTTTGACTCTGGTCGAAACACAATCAGAGGACGGGGAACCAGAGTTCAGCTTTCATCTACAGTACTACCAACATGCTGGGTTTTCAAAATAAAAGCTTGTAAGCCTTTCTGCATCTGCAGGAACAGCAGGAAAAAGATCCATTCCAGGAAACGTGTCCAGAACCTTCAAATGACCCGACTGACGATTCCGGAAACACTAAAAAACTGTTCTTGCTGTTTCCCATATTTACCAGAACCAGAAGGTCCAAACGCAAACAACCATCCAGCGTTTGGACCGACTTAGCATCGATGTCGCTACATTTACCGTCTTTTCAGACCTGCTAGCGACAAACTTTCAGAAAATGCAACGAGCTACAAATTTTAAAAAAAGTAGTGATCAATTGAGCGAATCTGTCTCTAGCAGATTGAGCTTCTGTTTACTGTCTTTCATCATTTCTGGTGATTTGTGATTATTGTCTGGTATTTTCTTTAAGAATCTGCAGTGTGGAGCAGAGAGCAGAGCTCTGAACCGCAGAGCCGCTGCAGCGCTTCGCTCTCAGGAAGTGTTTCCTCTGCGCCGCCGCCCAAACAGGAAGCGTTACCTTCACCGTCGGGTACGTCTTCCTGTTCTTCTCGCTGGAGGCTCCCGGCAGGCCGCCGTGCGACGGACCTTCGCAGCCGTAGCGAAACCTGAAGCCGCGCTGCAGAAACACAAACACAACGAAGATCATCTCAGATTACAGCAGAGGGCAAAAGTCAAGGTCATCCTGCAGGTGGGATGACCTTGACCTTGCTCGTCTTGCTAACCTCAGTCTAGCGGCCATCTTGTTTCGAGAGAGAGGTTTTCTAATTCAACCCTTCCAACACCTAAACATGCTAATCTCTGAGGGTCATGACCTTTAACCTGTAACCTGTGGAGTCTGAGCTCCAGCTCTGGGGCTTCTGGACAATTCTTCACGCTCTGACCTTTGACCTCGTGGTGTCTGAGAAGTTTTCCTCTTGGAATTTTTTAATGTAAATTTGTTTGTAATAAACATTTATTTTAATTTCTTTGATTTTTATTTTTTATTCATTTATTTCTGTTTATCTGTACTTATTTTCAATAAAAATAATTTTTAAAATATTTTTACTTTTTTAACCTTTAATGTAAATAACTTAATTTTTTGTACTTTTTAATTGAAATTTTAAATGTTATTTTCATTAAATTAAATAAAATCTTATTTTCTTATGTATTTATTTTTATAATCTTGGAGACTGATGGAGCTGACCTTTGACCCCCCCCAGACGGAGCAGCAGCTGAGGTCACCGCTAGCGTTGTGCTAACATCCTAATCTCTACAGAATAAGATCTGAATAATCTCATTAAAGACGTCAGAGGAGAGACCGAGCGAATGTCCTGTCCAGGTGAGAGGACTTCCTGTCCAGGTGAGAGGACTTCCTGTCCAGGTGAGAGGACTTCCTGTTTGAGTTGCTCACCTGTTTGGGCTGCTCCAGGATCTGCAGGAACGGTCCGTCCACTGAAACACACAAACCAATCACAGTCAAAGTTATTATTAACAATTACAACATTATAGACGATAACTGGAGGTTTTAAATCTTTAGAGCAGAAAATGAAAAAAAGTTTTCTTTCTGTCTTCATCAGTTTATCCATTATTTATGGAACAAACATAAATAAATGACATAGAAACGAATAAATGAATCTAAGCTCTCTTATTCAATCGATCGTTAATAACTTATCCAGTTACGTATATCTTATGAATAATGAGATAAATCGTCATCATCATCAGCCTGGAGGCCTTCGGCAGCAGAAACTCGTTTGCAGCTTCAGCTGAAACCAGAAACAGGAAGTGAGCGCGCCGCCGCCGCCTCGTCATGAAACTCGTCTTTCGTTTTGCCGCCGCCGGTTTCCTCCAATCATTTCGTTTTCAGACCGAAACTCTGCTGCAGCAGAAACTTTTGGTCCAGTCAGGATCTGCCGTCTGTTTCAGCGGCGGCAGCATCATGCTGAGCAGACACTTCCTGTCAAACTGGAAATCTGAGCAGTTTCTGAACCATAAACCTGGTTTCATCCTTCATTTCACTTCCAGGCCGTAGAAACACGACGGACACGGATCGCATCACTTCCTGTCCTGCAGAACAGCCTGACAGCGGAGGTCACTCGACCCTGGACTGCATTTACATAATTCATATTTAAATAAAAAACACAGAGAAAATAATAAGCTTTTTTATGTTAAAAATTTAATATTATTAAAACATAATATTGTTAATTCTTAGAAAACTACCATCAAAGTAAAAATAAATATTAAAATGGGTCAAATTAGCAAAGAAATATAAAATAATGCAAAAAATAAATGTATTAAATCAGGATAATTGAAGAAACATAAAATTCTTCATTCACACAATAAAACAAATTATATAGTTTATAGAAAGTTTTACGTACAAAGAGCCACAATATTTTAAATTTTATTTAAATGACAACTAATCTTAAAAAACTAAAAAAAAATTGCAAATACAAAATACATTTAAAAATTTTCATAACACGATTTAATAATTTAAAATAATAAATATGAACTAAAACTGTTTTTACTTTTGTTTTAACAACTTTAATATTTAAGATGTAAGAGGAAGTCGCTTGTAGGGAAAAATTTAATTTGCATAAATAAAAATCAACCAGAGACCGGTTCTGGTCCAATAAACCAGAACACGATGCAGTAGAACGGTTCTGACCCGGGAGAGGGCGGAGTCTCACCTGACTGCAGAGCCGTCATCTGAGGCATCGGGACGTGGAAGTGGGGATACTCCAGGAAGGACGGGTCAATCATGGCGTCGAACATCTGCAACGAGACCCAGCTGAGGTCCGACAGAACCGCCCGGGGTTCTGGAGCTGCAACAGAACCCAGAGCAGTCCTGCTGGACCAGCTCGCTGCGTTAGCTGTATGCTAATGAACCGAGCCAGCAGCCAATCACAGACGGGGATTTTTAACCCAATCAGATTATCCCTAAACTTTCTGAATGAAAAACAACCAAAATGGAGGAAAAACAACAAACTGTGATTCTGTATCCAGCTGCAAACTTTAGGGACAAGTTTTTGTAGATTCATTTGAAACCCAAAGACTTTTATTTTTTCAGGATCTCGTCTGCATAAATCTTCATTTGTTGGATTAAAGATTACAGGAAGGAAAAGCTGTGATTTCAGGTCCGGCTACACAGAACCGCACAAAATTCACAACCTCATTCAGAAACTGGAACTTAACAGGAACAGTTTGGGTCTGTTCACGAGATTCAACTTTTGTTTCCCAGGATGTTCATTTCAGCACAAGAAACCAGACCAAAAGGATGAGAGCAGGCTGGGTGAGAGGGTGAGAGCAGGCTGGGTGAGAGGGTGAGAGCAGGCTGGGTGAGAGGGTGAGAGCAGGCTGGGTGAGAGGGTGAGAGCAGGCTGGGTGAGAGGGTGAGAGCAGGCTGGGTGAGAGGGTGAGAGCAAGCTGGGTGAGAGGGTGAGAGCAAGCTGGGTGAGAGGGTGAGAGCAAGCTGGGTGAGAGGGTGAGAGCAAGCTGGGTGAGAGGGTGAGAGCAGGCTGGGTGAGAGGGTGAGAGCAGGCTGGGTGAGAGGGTGAGAGCAGGCTGGGTGAGAGGGTGAGAGCAAGCTGGGTGAGAGGGTGAGAGCAGGCTGGGTGAGAGGGTGAGAGCAGGCTGGGTGAGAGGGTGAGAGCAAGCTGGGTGAGAGGGTGAGAGCAGGCTGGGTGAGAGGGTGAGAGGGTGAGAGCAGGCTGGGTGAGAGGGTGAGAGGAAGCTGGGTGAGAGCAGGCTGGGTGAGAGGGTGAGAGCAAGCTGGGTGAGAGGGTGAGAGCAAGCTGGGTGAGAGGGTGAGAGCAGGCTGGGTGAGAGCAAGCTGGGTGAGAGGGTGAGAGCAGGCTGGGTGAGAGGGTGAGAGCAGGCTGGGTGAGAGGGTGAGAGCAAGCTGGGTGAGAGGGTGAGAGCAGGCTGGGTGAGAGGGTGAGAGCAGCTGGGTGAGAGGGTGAGAGCCGGCTGGGTGAGAGGGTGAGAGCAGGCTGGGTGAGAGGGTGAGAGCCGGCTGGGTGAGAGGGTGAGAGCAGGCTGGGTGAGAGGGAGAAGGTTTCTGATCAAGTCATCATCCCTTCACACAGATCTGTGCGCCTAGATCAGTCTCACAGCAAACTCAGCCTGCTGAATGAACATTTTTTTATTCCGGGCAGAAACTCTGAGATATTCTGAGTATGATTCTGTAAAATCCGTCCAGTTCTGCGTTCAGGAGAGGAAAGGTGTTTCCTCCCAGCTCCTGGTCCAATCGGAAATCAGGAGCAGCACAGGTACGACTGCGGATCGGACAGAAACGTCTAAGTTTCTGTTTTACAAGTTCAAAACTCAGGAATGGATGGAAGCAGAAATATCGGTAACAACGTCGATATCGGCCCAAACGTTTAGATTGGTGCAACAATCGTATCAGCAATAAAGGGAAATATTTGCCCTAATGTCTGACAGGAAACAAAAGAATGAATAAATTTCTTGTACTGATGTGGGCTTTTTTCCATTCAAACAGGATTTCCCATTTGAGTTTCGGTCGCTCGTGGTGCAGCAGTGAGCGGCAGGTGAGCTCACCTGGCTGGAGGCGTGCAGGTAGTTCTCCTCAGCAGCCATTTGTCTGCAGAAATCCACACATTTATGATTTGAAGTCAGATTCAAATCAAACATCCACATCTCTGTCCACATGCTGAAGCTGGGCAGCTAAACGATACGAATAAGAGTTTTGAGTTTGAAGACATCCTGTTTCTTCACCGTTTTCTGTTTTAAAGTCGTGATTTTTCTGCAGCTTCCTGTCTTGTTTACTGAGTCTAATTATAACTCATATTTATTACCAGGCAGGAATTTCCCAGTTTGAACTAAAAGATTTTCTTTAGTGTCATTATCCAAACTTTACTTGCCCAAAAAAACAACTCTTCCTGGAAAGTTATTAAACCATTTCTAATTCAGTATTAATTACAAGAAAAAAATATTTTATTAATTTTACTTCTGCACAAGTGAGAAAACTTTTTAAGAAACTGATTCCTGCAGGAGAGGAAGGGTCAAAACATAACAATCAATGAGAGATCAATGAAACATAACATCTGTATTTTAAAGTGCAAATTAAATCATAAATATAACAAGAGGAGCAAAGATGAATTAACATGAGTAATTTAAATATCAAATCTCTTGAATTTCAACCATAATCTGGGAAGACACTCCCAGTAACTAATTATTGATTAGCTAGAGAAAAATAAAACTACTGCAGACATTTCAAAAGGTATTTCTGAAACATTTAACTTTTAATTTATGTTAATAAAAAACTAATTAGCTAATAAAAGAATTAAACACGACAGCATATTCATACCTGGTAACTGGTGACGCTGCTCTCCGATTTTTATGACCAATAGCCAATAATATCGATTGATCTTTGATTCTTCTGATACCTGATGCTGAGCAGAGCGCGCCCCCGCTGCGCTTTCCCCATGCCGTGAACGTGCCTGCGTGTGCGTTAGCCCCCTCGTTCGCACATAGCTAACGACCCATCGTGGACTACTGCTGCTGCTTCCTTCGTGGAAGTGACCACTGATAATGTGAACCACGGACACGGAGGCCGTCTCTTTACGGCGGAGGAGCGGTGCGGGAGCTGCAGCCTCACGAGAGTCTCTGCCACGCCGGAACGGCTAACCGCTACCTGTCCCCGCTGCTGCGGGAGCGCGCCTCGCAGGCTTCCACCAAACTCCATTTAAAATCCTACTAATTTCAGAAACCTCCAGATTCCAGCTTACAAATAATAAATTCAGAGATATTTTTATATTAGACCGAAATGAAATAAAGTGATAATTAATACGGCGTTAGTAATGTTAGGATTAATTAAATTGTTTTGTCATATCACTCATAAATTCATCAGTCACTAGGAACAAGACACAGTTGAGCCACACTAAGAGTTTTAAGCTGAAGCTAAAATAAAAGTTACTGTCAGTAAAATAGGAGCCGCATTAAATGTTAGATAACAAAGATTGGAGATACTGTGACTTTAACCCTTATGACTGTATTCAGGATTTAAGAAAACAACCAAATGCTGCTGAGTTAAAAAGTTACCTGGCTAATAAGGAAGTAAGCAGAACAACAAAGCAAGCTGAGCTGTACCGGTCCGGTCCGGTCCAAGGCGCGGTTCTGACACCAGGTTCGGACCCAGCGGCTCTGCTCTTTAGTGGTGAATGTGTAGTAAGCATGGGGTTACCTGGTCAGCTGCTCAGGTGGAAGTGTGACAGTTGGGGCTCGTTCCGCTTCACTTCAGTTCACTCATGTCGCCATTATTTCCTCCCCACGCAGAACACGCAGACCCACGAGCAGACCGGGCTCAGCTTCGGGACACCATCACTGCGTGGAGAGCCCAAATATTTCATCCAGTCCTGCCTCGACAAAGCTGAAACTTCCAGGTGACACCGAGAAGAAAGAGTGGAGTTCCTTCCCCACTGGAAATTCCCCCCGGTTCCCAGGTTCACCACAGGGGGCAGCAGAGAGTCAGGAGGTCTCACGCCAATTCCCAGGTTCACCACAGGGGGCAGCAAAGAGTCAGGAGGTCTCACTCTGTCGTTTTTTTATTTTTCACATCACTGGTTTTGAAATATTAAGTGGGGAAAAAAAAAACATGCAAGAACAGAAACAGAATAAAACATGAATAAAACTAGGATAGAAATTGGGATGAAAATTAAACAAAATTAAAAAAAATCACTGAAAGTGTTAAATCCTGAAAATTATAAAATAAAACAAATAAGAAAACTGTGACATGTCAGAGGAGAGACACATCACAGTATTATTTATTTAGATTCAAAGTTAAAATCTCTGTTCCTCTAAAGATGTTAACTTTTCCTTTTAAAGCTTGAAGAATAATGAGTTCTGACTAAGGTGTGAAAATGGGACCATTCCTCTTAAAATTGAACAGAAACAACCATATTTCCATATTAAACCATTTTTATTATGATAAACACATAGACCATTCTGTTATTCAACCATATACATTTATGACCTATAATTAGCTTCAGCTAACACTCATCAGAACCTTTACGGCACATAGAAGAGGGTCATTTAGTGCAAGTTACAGTCAAAACACAAAACAGCTTCAGATTGCAAAAATAAACACGTCATCTATTCATAAAACGAGTAAAAAGTGTTGAGCAGACAGAAACCAGAGGCACATGAGGGGGAGACGCCACTGCACAGGCAGCTAACACACAGGCGAAACGCACTGGGGCATGGCATGCTCCGCCCACCTCAGCAGAAAGGGGCGGGGCCTCAGGTCGCCACTACGGAGGCACGACAAGCAGAAACGTCACGTCAAAGCAGCAACAACACCCTACGTCAGGTTGGCAGCGATGAAGGCCCATTGTGCGACTGGCAGTGTGGCAAAGTAAGACTACTGCATGGACGGATAAAGACCAAGCGGGGCCCCGGGCGAAAACCGGTGGGGGGGCCAACAGGAGGACCCGCTGAGGGGCCCCGGGGCCTCCAATCAATTCTCCTGTTGTCAAGCTCCTGTGCTGCTGTCCTGGAGCTCTTTGTGTTCATTTAGTGAGAATGCCAAATTTTAAGAAATAACTTATGAAATAATTATTTAAATGTGTCACCATGAAAACTAGAAATAAATCCAAAGTAATTTATTAAATGTAAATTATATGTGTCTCAATTAAATTGCATACATAAAAATGTATGTATGCAATTTAATACATATGTATTAAATTTCAAGACTTATTTTTAGAAACAGCCCTGATCCTGCTCTCTGAGTATGATGGGTCAAATTTATAGTTTAAATTAGTTCATAATGTGCTTCATCGCAGAATACACATTTATTAAATCATGGAATAATTATATCTACTTTTAAAACTGAAAACATTTCATTGGGGCACAAATAATTCATTATCTTTTATAAATGTTTCTGGATTTATTTTTCTATTTTAATAAATTAGTACCACTAAGTAATGATTTAATCGGCTATGCAGTTATTGCAATTTGGCACTCTTTGCTCTCCATAAAACTCCAATGTCAGATTATTTTTACTGTAAATTGAAGAAAATCTGGAGATTCTCTCATTTCTAATTATTTAAGTCTAAAACTAGATGAAATGAGATTAAATTAAATGCTTGAGGAAAAAAAGCCAATTATCAGAGATTATAAATTTATAAAATGACATTGTGATATTCTTTACGGCTTAAAGCCAAATGTAGTGGACAGGTTTCATTTTAGTAAAATAATGACTTTAAACTATGCAGGTGATGGAAAATTTGGACATAAATGCAGGCCTAGTCGGGTCCAGCTGGGCTGGAAAAACATGAACAATAATCATGTTTTTCACATAATCTGAACATTTTGGACCAAGATGATTATAAATTCAGTTTTTAAAATCCAAAAACATTTTGTCTTCCTGGATTAGAGCCCTGATCAGCCTGTTAATCCCAGTGTATCAATCCATGGGGATAAAAGATGCTTTACCTTATTCTCTTTCTGTGGTTCTGGTGCCGCCCGGCCCGGCCGACCAACAGGAAGCTGAAAATCCAGAACCAGAACCGCTCAGTTCTGTTTCAATGACGAACAGAACTTCATGCATGTCATAAAACAGCAGATCAGCTCCACAGTTCAGGCCACTGCGTTTCCCCTGCAGCGCCTCCTGTCAGTAGAACTGCAGCCTGAACCCTCAGGAAGCTCAAAGCTGGATGAGACGCTTCAGTCAGAAGTTCTGAAAATTTACCAAACGGGTCAAACAGAACCCTGCAGTTTCACGATTCTAAAGTAAAACTGACCCAGAACCTCCAGAACGGCCTCCAAAAGTCCCAGAGTTTCACTTTCTAGCACCAAAAATAGGAAAAATACGACAGCAAAAAGTAAACATCAGAGCTACCCAGAACCAGTAGACCCAGCAAAACCAGATGAACCATCAGAACCATCGGAACCATCAGAACTATCATCCAGACTAACTGGACCACAGGAAGCTGGAGTTTCCCCAACCCAGTTAAAATTCTGATTAATTTCCCAGTTCTCCCAATTTAACTTGAGGATTTTTCCAGTTGCTCTCCAGTTTGTCCAGCTCTGACTGATGTTGTTTCTGACCCGGTTAAACATCCAGAACCGTCTGAATTCAAGCATAGGACTTGCATTCTCCCACTGCTGGAGGACTTCCTGGTTTCTAGCCAATCAGAGAGCAGAGAGAACTATCTACGCCCTCATTGGTTCTGGAGGAACTGGACCTGGAGGTTCTAATGTCTTGCAGGAACCAGAAGGTTCTGGAGCTCCGCCTCCTCAATGAGCCCCACAAAAGGCGGGAATCACCATGACAACCAGTCAAAACATTTAATGTGGCGATGAACCAGGAGCTCACTGCCTATGTTCTGGATGTTCTCCAGAACCTGACCCGGTTCTGGTTCCGGTCCAGATATCTGCAGAGAAAACGGCCTGTTTGGATGCTGCTCTTCATCCTCCTCTTCCTCCTGCGATATTTCTATGTTTAGATTATTTAAATCCACAGATACTTAGCAGCGGTTCTGGTTCCCCTCGAACCCGATGAACCCGGTTCTTCTCCTCACTCGTCCTGAATGACTATTTTTGTTTTAGGAGCAGGAATGAACTTTGACCTCCTCCTCTTACTCAGCAGGAAGTGGAACCTTCATCCTGCGTCTGTCTTCCTGTGGATCTGTGGCTACAAAGCTACGTGAGTGGAATCTCAGCCACCGGAACTGGACCGGACCGGACCCGACCCGACCTCCCGGCTTTGGCAGGAAGCAGCTGCAGACGCAGAACCGGCGGTCCGGTCCGGTCAGTGTCCCCCGTCTCTGGAGGACGGAGACTTCCTCTGCTTCTGCTTGGACTTCCTGAGCATCCGGACCTGCAGAGACCCGGGACAAGGTAAAGGGTTAAGTAAAGGTCATGATGGATGAATGGAACCAGTGAACCTGCAGGCCTAGCCGAGTCCAGCCGGGTCCAACCGGGTCCAGCCGGGTCCAACCGGGTCCAACCGGGTCCAACCGGGTCCAGCTGGGCCCGTATTGAACTACGGCTACCTGCAGGGCCAATCCCCGGTACCTTGGGTCCGGCAGCAGAGATGATGATGTGTCCCGGCGCCTGCAGCCAGGGCTCGCCGTCCACCTGGACAGGAAGCTCTTTGCTGACGATGAGGCGGATGTAGGATCCCTGGGCGATCCGGATCCCGCAGCGCAGCCCGCTCTGGACCTGGCCCTGCGGACACGCGGCAGAGGTCAGAGGTCAGAGCGACTCTAAGCCGAGACGATCCGAGACGACCCGGCGGCACCGCACCATGTGGACGACCCCGGTGACCCCGACCACCTCCAGCAGGCCGTCGTCGATCCCGGGCCTGGAGAACTGGCCGTCGGCCTCCGACCCCCACAGGTCGGCTCCAGAACCCCAGCTGCAGAGAGGAGAGGACATGAAGCGGAGCGCCGTCCTGCAGGGGGCGCCGTCCTGCAGGGGGCGCCGTGCGTCTCTACGCGTTACCTGGGGATGTTGAGGAAGATGAGGCCCTCGATGTTGGGCAGCGGGACGGGCTGCTTGTCCACCTGCAGCTGCAGCTCCTTGTGGAGGCTGCGGCTGCGGCTGATCTTCTGCAGACCCACCTTCACGTAAACGCCTTTGTTGTGGAACCTGAGGGCAGGAAGGTCGCACTCACACGTTCAGAAGCATAAGAGGTTTGTTTACCAGACAGAGACGGGTCGGATCCTCCGGGCTACCTGCTGGTGAATTTGTCGGGTTCTCCCTCCCGGGCCAGGTGGAAGTCCAGGCTGAGCTCGGCGTCGATGCCGAGGCCGAAGTAGTTATTCATCTGGACGATCTGAGAGGAGACGGGCTATAAACCGGCTGATACTGCTAAAACAGGTCCTGGTGCAGCTGTTAGCATTAGCGTGCTAACACCTCGGGTTGGATGCGTTCATCCTTCCCACCAGAAGTTCAGGATGACAGACATTTT